GTTAAGGTATTTAGGACTTATAAATATATTAAAATTGAATATTTTTAAAAGAATAATTTGAATTTGTAAAATAGATTAAAATCACAATAAATATAAAAAATAAAGATGATTATAATAATAGTTGTAAATAAAAATTACAATTAAATATGGTAACGTTAAACAATAATAACAATATTTTTCTAGCATTTAATTATAACTAATATTTATGTATCTTATAATTTTTTTTGTTTAAAAATTTAATACTTTTTTTATTTGTATACTAGATGCTAAATACGAAAACAAGTTAAAATTAAATTTGAATGTATTAGATCTATAAGACTTAATCTTAATTTAGAATCTCATATTTATTTATTTTTAAGTATTTTCAAAAATGTTGAATCATACATAATTATTAATATGATGTAAATATTTTAAACATTTTATTAAGGTGCTTTAAAGTAGGTTTTACTTGTGTTGTAAATTTTTATCACTAACTATACCAAATAATGTTAATGATGTGTGTAATTATCAAATTAGACAATGAATGCATAGCATGGGTTGATCAAATGGTAAAGTGTTTTTAATTGGTCTAAAGAAGTGGCTAATTAAATATATCTTATTACTTATATGTTGTTTAAATAGATAATGTTAAGAAAGTCAAAAATATAGATGGTATTTTTAGAGAAATAGAAGACCAACATGGTATTACTACTATGAAATCTACTTTTTAAGAGGAAAATGTGAAGAAACACAATTTGTGGATAATATTAATGGAAAAAATTGTGAAAGATGGTTTCTAATCATACCCTAACTTCATAATCAATACAACTACTACAGCAAATTCTTAAGTGAAACCTAATCTATTTCCATCAAGGACATCGATTGCTTATTTGATCTTTATTTTCTTATCCATCCATCCAAATTAATTTGTTTTTGAAGAAATATTATAAATCATGTCTTCATCCTCGAATTGCCCACAAATATGTTGGGCAGTGCAAGTGTTATCTACGGTCAACAGATACGCCACCCAAGAGTAACGGCAGAGTTAGAAATTTGACCATGATTATGACAAATTAATCAGGATCTTAGCGGGTAGATTTTGGGAGAATGATGAAGCCCAGCAATGATATGTGCAGGGCGTCAGGAAGGAGGACGCCCATGTGGGTTGGGGTTGGGAGGGGGGGGGGGGGGGTGGATGGGTTCCAGTTTTACTCGCCCTGGTGCCGCAGCCATTTTGCTTCTCTGGAACCAGCCGCTCGCAAGATTCAGGCGATCAAGTGGGACCACGGATTGCTAGTGAGCAGATCCAAGTGAGGATAGTGGAAGCTGCTGGGAGTACACATCGGCGTCGGAATCCATATCCTCCCCACAGACACGTCGCTTCGCTTCCTCAGTTCTTATCCACTGCCTTCCACTTTTTGTCCCTCGTCTGCCACTATTTTCGTGTACAAACTGGCCGCCGTATAATGTGGTTTGATCATGCCCCAATGCTGGTGTCGAAGAGCTGGGTGGGTATCGAGTTTACCCTACCTCATCAATTTGTGACAGTCCACGCCGCTCAGTCCCAGCTTGAGTGCATTGCCATGGGGTCTGGTTTGTCTATGCCGATTCCAGGCTTTGAAACTTGCTGAATACCCACGTTGTGAACCAAAATTTGGAAATATTAACAAGAACTCAGTGGGAGAGTGGATGTCAATGAATGGCTTTCTCAAAGGAGGGTGAATTTCTCATCAAGTTCAGTTTGAGAATTTCCATATGTACAAGCCAGAACATGCTTCTACGGTCCTTTGCCTGCAACAAACAGACAGACAGAGCGTAGGCTGGGAGGGGACGAAGAGGTCCTGAGGAGATTATTGCAACGGAGGCGCAAGCGTTGAATACCAACATTCATTGTGACTGATCGCAGTGGTACGTCGTGACGGGATGTGGATGGAGTGTGGGTGTTTTACCTCTCGAGCTGTGGCCCTGAAAATTTTGCACGTAACAGCACCTTTCGAGTCTCTGCCTGCTGCAGGTGTTCACGACAGAGCTTCGTCACTATTCAGCTTGGCTGAAAAGATAGTGAATAGCTCCCGTACACAAACTCCACCGATGCAATCTCCAGGTGATGCAGTATCCGAATGCTGTTGCGGCGACTGCAAGTGATCTGATGAGAAATACATTTTCTTCACGAGGAACACGTACCGAGCATCCGAGCTGAGAATTTACAAGGGCCAAAGAAATTCCACCATCGCAACCAATTACACTTTCACTGAAGATAGTTACGTTAATTTCGGAGGAAGGTCAGCCAAAAAGATCACAACAGGTGGATGGAAGATCTTCCCGGCTCTGTTTGGTGAATTGTTGGGACTACATTATTATGATGGATCACACAAACATGGTAGCTAGCAGCGTCTTGGTTTCGAAGCGCGGGATGTTGAACATTGCCTTTTGTTGGCATATTGTCTTTCGTCACCACAATGTTGATGATCCTGATTCATGCATTCTAGATCATACCATAACTTCGTGTGTGGATGGGTGGTCCTCCTGGGGTTGGCGTGTTTTGAGACTGTTGAATTGGGGCTTGTCCGTGTTGGGCCCTATGTATCTCCGGTCATTCGCCATGTTGTCGTTTCCGTCTTCGTGTTCTTCGTCATTACAGCTTGCTTGAATGCAATCAGATATACCAAAGTTGGGTACTTATGGGATGGTTTAGAAGACCTTCCGACAAGGTGACAGTTGCAGATGGCTGTCGCACCAATCCTGCAGAATCTGCTGGTCCATGATGACCCAGCACGGTGACGTTAGTGGAGAGAATCAAGGGCATGTTAAACTGCATTCCGATTCCAACGGGGCTGACGCTGCTGATTGTGGTGCTCGCGCAAGTTCAAACGTGGACGACGCCGCAGGCATACACCATGGACAGACGCATCGGAGCACAGGCGTTACCGTCATCGTCGGCCACGCGAGGTTCTTCGAGTTTTTCCACAACAAATCACCCCTTGGGGTCTGCTACCTCGGTTCGACATTTCTAGATATTTTGCAGTCCAGACATTCCTCAACCAATCGTCGGATGAATGTTTTAGAGAATTAGTTCTGCTACAAATTGGCAAGTTCAAGCTCTGTAGATGAACATTCATTGACGGTCAGCCGATGGAAGTAACTAACCCGTACTAGAGTATTTCTTCCGACGTGCTGTAGCGCTGTTTGTCTCCACACATTTCCAGCTCCCATGTAAGGAAACGTCGTACATTCTTTCTAGCGCTCACGCTGTCGAAGAAGACAACAACCTTGAGCTATTGATGAGCTCTACATATAGCGAGTGACCGTGGCTTGCTATTTTGGCGTCTCAGATCCGTGTCAGTATACTTGGTGATTGTTTGTACAATGACTTAACGAGACAACGAAGGTTCTAAGTGCTATATCAGCATGTTCTCTTCAAGGGGGATGTATCATCAACCCAGACAGCTCCATAACTGATGCCTCGTCGTCGCAGGTTGAGGAAACTTGTGACTAACGCACGAAAGTACTAAAACGATGACCCTAATCGCCACCTCCTTTTCAGAAGCTTCACTGAGAGTTTTGCTCACATTGGTGCAGTCTGAGATGCGTGATTAATCGACCATGAAGTTCGACTTGGGCATTCGAGATTTTCCTGGGGTAAGGATCAAATCTTTTCATGCTAAAAGCAGTGCGAAAAGCGTACTAAGAGGAGTCTATTTTTGCCTCCTCCATGAGGAGCAGGGTTTCTGGTCGTAAACGATCGCCACACATAGATCCACACGGCCATATACTCTTGTCAGAACAATACATTGAAGTCTCATGCAAAACCATGAATTCCTGAACCTCAATTCTGATCCACAGACTTTAGCCTTCAGGTGTGGTCAATAGACTTAAAATAAAACTAAACTAAAAAAAACATACCCCATTTCCCGAAAATGCCTCGCAATCCTCGTATTCAGAACACGGGAAAAAGAAAATAGAAAAAAGAAAACAAAACAAGAATCGTGTGGCGCTGAGTAATTATGAACACGACAATTAGAAGGCTGATCAATCGGTGGGTTCAAATGATCACATCAGCAGCGTACCAGCCTTCTCGCTAACACCGGCATTTGATTATATTATAACTAATCCATAGTACAGCATTGGAACGGCATGCTCCATGCCCTAGCAATGGTGCCAAGATCCTATTGACGATCCTTATGAAACTGCCTTCTATGCACTGACATCAACATTCATTGATTTCCAGAATGTGAAGCTGCTTCAATGCGTTCCTCCTGGTGAGTACCCGTCTTCCCAGGCAACAGCGCCATGACTTGTATGCCATCCAGGTCTTTGTACCCCGAAATACTGCTCAAGTCAAACGAGCGTGAAGACTGGATCTCAAGGAAATGTTAAATTTACCATTGACTCTGCCCTGATTAGTGGGTTCCAGCTGACCAGATTAGCGACAGAAACATCGGATTAAGGTCCTGTCAGTATGTTGCCAGGCTCCTAATTATGAGGTTTTAGCATGACTCGCAAAGTGTTGCATCCTGCTGGACTAAACCTGCCACAGCTTGGAACCGCAGGGCATGGCGTTTCGGCAGCCTACCTCTGCAAGCAATGGCCACCTTAATTGACGGTGGCGCAGGTGCCCTGGCAGATTGACTGCAGTGATGGAAATGGGGATGCTATTAGCTTAATTCCATTGGATCGGAAAGATTATCTCCAGATATCCTATTGAATGGCGGAATCCGCGTTCACCTCACTCACGGGTACATGCCCCCCAGTCGGTGAGCACTTCGCTCGCATGTTTCTCCATCTGATAAGGTGCGCGGGGTCATGACACTGCCTGCGATTGTCCGGCTCATCCCTGTGAGCAATATTGCCGAGGTCGTGAATGTGCCACACATTCCAGTGCCCGACGCATAGTCTCAGTTCAAACTCCACTGCATCATCCTTTTGTGAATGCAGCGTACGGTGGCACTGAAATTCATGATCCGAAAGCGCGTCAGTTGTGTGCGAGGATTGACGTCTCTTGGCCTTTATTGCGGTGTCGGAATTGGGTGCAAGAGAGAATTCTTTTGCATACACGTGATTCAGCGTTCTAAAAGTAGTAAAAGCTGATTGACAATTTGATCTGGCCAATCACTCCCTGTGCAATAGTGTCAATGTGTCTGGAGAGACATCCCCATCTCAGCCCTGGTTGAATTACCATGTCAATTTGTGGATTTAAGTCTGTGCACCGGACGGTACAGCTGGACTTCAATTGATGGCGATGTCTTCTGCCACTAAGGTAATTCAACCTTTGCCTCTAGCTGCAATCAGCTGCCCCCCCTTCTAGGACTTCCCAGTTTTCTCATGTATCCACGAATCCATTGACAAGCTCCAATCCGTCGAATACTTAAATCGATCGCTGGCTTATTCCAGCTAACCTTAGATTCACTACATTAGTCTTTGACTACAACAAAGTGGAATCAACGGGCTGGAGCTGGAACTAATGCCTCAGTGGGGTGCAGTCGCTGCCCTTGGGCCTAGGGGAAGTTGGAAGCTTACTAACAGGAGTGAGACTTGGCAGGAGGGAAATCTAGGCTAGCGTGATGTTGGAGGGCATTGTACGAGGCATCTCAGTTAGAACATCAACACATTCTGGAACAAGGAAGGAGGAAGCGGGATGTCAAGGCGCCACAAGCCTCAGGTATTCACAGCAACACTGATCGGGATTCTGTTCTACGCGTGCATCCACACTCAGCTGCGTCCAGCTTGCGCTTCTTCTGCCAAGTCCCGCTTCTTCCGCAGCCAGCGCAAACTCGCCGAGATTCACAGACATCTCGCCCAAGTGAACAAACCTGCCGTCATATCAATCCAGGTATATATATATAAGTTTTAAATTCATTTAATTTTTGAAAACTTTCACCCTCCCTCTCTTACGCTATTCCATTCCTCATAGGGCTTTTCGTTCAAACTTTCTCAGTTCGCAGTGTTGACCAGAAACGCCACAGCCATAGCGCCAATCCAGCAAGGCTTGTCCGAGTGGAGTCTCACTGCATGTGCTAGTAGGCGGTTGCATCATGTCGGAGATTTTCATGCAGGAAAGCCCGGCGTCTTAAATGTGATGGACATCCTCGTAATCAGCCGAGTTTGCGAGTTTACCATAGCTCACGGAAGTGCATTCGGGGCACCAGTACACACGTCAGATGTCCAGACGCCGGATATTAGCTTGGGTGTTCACCTCCGCGACTTCCCCCGTTAACCTAGATGATGTTTGTTGTGGCAAGCAGAGCAACGATGGCGACATTATCGACTGCGTGAATAGCGTCCATCAACCGGCATTTGACCACCCTGCTCTCCGAAATCATTCCCTCCAGGTTCGCAACTACAGTGAATCACCCGCGTTTCATCAAAGTCCCAGAATGAATTTGTTGTGTGTTCGAGGGGCTAACAGTTATCGTGTGTGTGTGTGTGATTTGACAGGCCTCGCCAGCGGCGTTTCCTAAGAATTCTTTAGCTGAAGAAGTGCTTCGCAACAAGACAGGAGAGCCCCCTCCCCAGCTGTGGCACCAAACCGGTCAATCATGTCCACACGGAACTATCCCAATTCGGCGTACTTCAGCGAAAGATGTCCTCCGTGCCGGCAGCTTGAAGGAGTACATGATGAAGAAGACTGGCCCGTCGTCACCGATTTCTCCTCCGAGCCGCACCTTGCAAACCCAGGCTGACAACAGCCACGAGCACGCCATCGGTTACATGCGAGGTGACATGCTCTATGGCGCGCAAGCCACGCTGAATGTCTGGAACCCCACTGTTCAAGAGCCTAGCGAATTCAGCCTCTCGCAAATCTGGGTTTTAGCGGGTACCTTCAACAACGATCTTAACAGCATCGAAGCTGGATGGCAAGTACGTAACATCTATCTGTCTATCTATCTCTTTCCCGTCAATCTCTTGCGTGAGCATTCGTTCATTGCAATCTTCATTTATGCTTTAGTGGCCCTGAGGATATCTGCACGTCCTTGATACCATGGCAATGGAATGTGTAGGTTAGCCCGCTAATTTACGGAGATAGCAACCCACGACTATTCATCTACTGGACGGCGGATGCATACCAAGGGACGGGCTGCTATAATCTGCTGTGTTCGGGATTCGTCCAGACAAGCAACGCCATCGCAATAGGGGCAGCAATCACGCCGCTCTCAAGTGCCGGCGGGTCGCAATACGACATCAGCATCCTCATTTGGAAAGTAAGCGCGCGCTGCGTCTTGAGATCGAACGACTGCTACCCATGGAGAATGCTGTAGGGTGAACGACAAAGCCCGCCACGAGCTTGGATCTAAAACAGCGTCTGTGAATGTCCTTGCAGGACCCCAGCAGAGGAAACTGGTGGATGCAATTCGGGGAGGATCACTTAGTCGGCTACTGGCCCGCGTCTCTCTTCACGCATCTTGCAACCAGCGCGTCGATGCTAGAGTGGGGCGGGGAGGTGGTGAATTCACGTCCTGGAGGCCGCCACACGGCCACGCGCATGGGCAGCGGCCAGTTCCCGGAGAAAGGATTCGGGCAAGCGAGCTACTTGCGCAACATCAAATTCGTGGATGCAAATAATGTGCTGAAAACCCCCTTAGGCATGCGCACCCTTGCCGAGCACCCAGCCTGCTACAACATCCAAAAGGGCGCGAACGCGCAATGGGGCGCTTTCTTCTTCTACGGCGGTCCCGGCCAGAATGCCGACTGCCCTTGAATCCCCGCAAGCCACCTTCTTGCCTCTGCTTACGGGGATGGCTGGTCCCGTTCCGCGCTATTTGTATCCGCAACGTCCGCGTTCGTGTGCATGAGATCCCCGCGCTCCTTCACCCAGTGCTGCCCTGATTGCTGAATGACCCGTGGACGATCGATCACCCCCGTCCCCGACGTCCGCCGGTTTGGCATGAGGAGGAAGGGGACGCCGTGCGTTGCTTGTTGCAAGCTATTCGGTGTCTGTCGTCTGCCATTCTGCCTGCCTTGCTCCCCGCGCCGCGCCGCGCTTGCAAAACGCCGCTTCTCATACTTTAAAGTATTCCATGTCGAAACCTGAACGTACTTTAAAAGCTTTGGCCCCGTGCACGTAACTACTGTAGTGGCCTGCTTGACGACAACGTGGGTGTGTGGATGAATGGTGATGAATGTTGAGATTCAAAGGCGTTGCCCCAATTTCACACTTTAATTAGTTGCACTACTTTTCTAACACTAATTTACATGGAGTCTTCATTTCTGGATCATATAGATTTGGTTTTGGGTTCAATGTCACAAATGACTCCAAAATAGAAATAGTTTCAAATAAGAATTTATATACCAATTTTGCATGTTGGTTTGTTTGCTATTTAAGAGGCAAAAAAATGAATAATAAATAAACCCTTATTTTGTTGAAATAGATTCATACATGATTTGAATCAAAACCATGTAGAAAGTTTTTTTTATGTTTATTTTTGTTTTTTGAAATTATTTTACAAGTGACTTATTAGGGAAATTATTAATACAACTAAAATTACTTTTTTGAGCAATTAAGATTTTCTGTAGACATATGTATTTTAGTAAAAAGACATGAAATGCATCTACCCAGACCTTATGATTTTTATGTGAGGTTTGTTTTTGGATTTTGTGTATATAAGAATTAAAAATAGATTATTCTTTAAAGAAACAAATAATTATTAATTACTGTAGATCCTCATTGAAGAAGAAAATCATTGTTTGATTTATTGTTATGCAACAACTAAGTAATGTAACCATCTTTGAGAAAGCAATATGATTTAAACGTACACCCTCTAAGTTCATATCAAAGATCTCTAAGACATCTTAGTGTAATGGTTACAGAAAGAGATCTACAAAAGAATTCCCTTTCAATTGATTATTTACACTACAAACACAAATGTGCAGACAAATAACCTTAAAATCATAATCAAGAAGGTTGATTTTAATTTAAATAGACATGTAAACTTATAAATACACAAGACCATATATATATATATATATATATATATCTTATTAATAAAAAAAATTATGATATTTTAAATTGGTATAGATATAATATGTACATTAAAAGACATAATTTAGAATATATCGACCAATTAAAATATTAGTTTGAATGTATATATTTTGTGATCTGTCCATAAAAAGAAACATACAAAATATTTTTCTTAAAATTAATTAATTCTATTCTAATCACAAGGTGCATGATTTACAAATTTGTGTAGCATATTCATTACTGCTCGTTAATTATAATGATTTACACATAAAACTAAAATTTGATTTCAAATACTGTTACTATTAATCTAATATTTTTAAAAAATTATTCATTTTTTATTTGATTGTTATTGGTATTTTATTTATAAAATACTGGGACGTGATATTTGCAGAATAAAGTGATTTTAGACTTAGAGTATATATATTAATTGTATTGTAGTCCTCAAAATTTATTGAAATATATATATATATATATATATATATATATATGAAAAAATATATAATTGTAGTAAGAAATAGTCAACTTAGAAGGATTATCAATTGTTTGTTATTAATTCTCCAAATATTTAGAATTTAAAATAAAAATTTAAAATATGATTTTATTTCTAAAATTAATTACTGTTATATAAAATCAATTTTATTTCTTAAATCTATCGATACAATTCTATTAGCATCACATTGATTTTATTTTTAATAATTTAATTCAATTAATATTTAATGATTACTTTTCTTCTTAAAATATACCTATTTTTTAAAATAATATTTAACATATTTAAATTTTAAATTATTTTATTTTATTGTTGTAATGTAATAAATTTATATAAAATTAGTATTAGGTAATTTTAGTACTATTGTATATTATGTATGTATGTATGCATATATGTGTATGAAGTTAAAAATAAATAGAAGATCATATTACTTACACTTTATCCTATAAAAATCTATAAAAGATACTTTTGATTTAGTTTACTTATTCTAAAGATTAAGATTCTTCTTCATTATTCTTTAGTGTTCTAATATTTAATATTAAAAGTTATTTTAAAATATATTCTTGACAATATTTTTAAAATTTGTAATGTTTTGTGATTCTTTTATTTTGAAACTTGACCTAGTATAATTTGATTTTTTTTTAATATTTAAATTGGTTGTTTTAATGTATTCTATCAAAATTTATAAAATCTTGGTTTTTTTTGTACTACAAATTGATAAGCTAAGTCATTTAAAGCGTCTTATCTTTTAAACATATTTATAATTTTATAAATAAACTTATATCTTAGTTTATCTCACTATTTTTGAATCTATATATATTATTTAGATATTTAAAATCTTAGTGAATGATGTAAAATTACTATCCAATAATAAAGAAACATATATATATATATATATATATATATATAGCATTGCTAATGCTACCTCAAATTTTGACATCACAATCTACCATCCACCAGATGTCACTATAGTGTTTATTATTACTACCACAATCTTCCATTCACCACATGGCACCTACATTCTTTATTAATGCTAAATAAAAAATAAAAATAAAAATTATTCATTAATATTAATATGTTTATATACTTTCAATATTTATTGAAAAGTTGAATAATGTTTCCTTTATAAGATTTTTTTTTTAAAAAATCTTATTAATTTTTATTTAACATTAAAATTAAAATTACTTTCTATATGGTTTAGAAATAGGAAAACCTATTGGGAATTTAAATAGAATTAAAATATATATATATATATACTAGAAAAACATATTAAGTGGATGGTGGGTTGTGGTGGCAATGGCAAAAGCACTAATCCCATGTGGTGGATGACAAATTGTGGTAGCATTCAGAAAAACTATGGTAGCATTAGTAATATCATATATATATATATATATATATATATTAATATATGATTAATCCATACATGTCAAAATTTCTTTGATTTTAGCCATATAATTTTAATTTTAATTTTAATGTTTTTATTAAGTAATTGCAATAATAAACTTTTAAAGTTATTTTATATTCTAATGTGTTTTTTTTTTTTGTTTTGTTTTGTTTTTCTTTTTCTTTTTCTCCAAATACTTTAAAATGCATCATAATCAAATGCAATATGTATTTTTTTGTTTGTAAATAATTATTATATTTTTTATAATTATTTTCATAAATAAAAATAAAGATTTTACTTATTTTGATCGTTACACATCAAATTGAGATTGTGGTTTAAATATTAAATTTGATAGAATTTTAAAATATCTAAATTGTTTGAAAACAGCATGAGTTATTACATCTAAGTCTTCTTATGTACAACTTTAAATGAGATATTTTTTAAAATTTTACCATTAAGGTCCTAAAAGATATTTTTGCAATAGATATCTTTTATTTCATAGAAGTAAAAATATTTGTGCATTTGGAGTTTCAAATTCAAATTGAAAATGCTTTATGTTTAGTGTGTTCTAGAAGTGAAATCAAATTCAAATGTCATTTTCAAGTCCTTGTTGTATTGTATGTATTCCAAGCATTCCTTAAAGAGGTGTCTACAGTACAAAAGCCCTCTAAAAAACATAACAATATTATTGAAAGTTTTTGTAAACCTGAAATAAATTTTCTTGTTAAAATGAAAAGTTTGATTTTTGGTCTAAAAAAAATCAAACCAAAAAAAGACATGTAGATTCAAATTAAATCAAAACATAATTTTGTGCTTATGTCTTATGAGTTCATAAAATGAGAACCGAAATGAACAATGCACAAGACTCTCGTGGTGGCAGTGCCGGCTGCTACAGTCACGTGACATACCAGCATAGCTTCTAAAACATCGGCATTAAATGTCAAGGAATTGAACCCTCGTAACATGCCTGATAAGAGAATTCGTCAAAGAAGAGAGGATGAAAAATGTTTTAGGGCATGACCAATCCATTGCCTATCCTCAAGGAGGTAATTGCAGCTGTAGCTCGAAATCCCCAGTTTCATACTCCACGCGGGTTGAAAATTCAACACGTTAGTAGCACTGATGCTATCAAGACGTCTAGATTGCGTGGTTGCAAATCACTAAATTCTGCTCCACATCGTATGCCTTTTTCAGTTCTATTCAGGAAATTCAAAGGATTTGAGATTTTGTACTTTTACAGTAATCCTGTTCTTGAGACGCTTCCATGAGAGGTATTCGTAGTAACAGTTGAAAAAATCAATTGTATCAATGAACTACCTAATTGGCTCTTTGAAATAGGAGCATGTGAACCCTGCACTGTGCTAAAAACAAATCTCTGCAAGATAATAGACAACACCAAAAGTCTAAAAAGAGAGTGGCTCAAAGGAAAGGATTATTTCTAACCCAATGCTATCTCAAAATAAGGTGGCTGTCCGTAGTGAAACTATTATCACTGTTATCTATAACAACGCCAAAGAAGCGTAGGGCGGACTGAAGGGTGTTGGAAAGAACCATGGCAACTGTGACGGGGCCAACGCCTCCTGGTACTGGCGTAATTGCTGAAGCCACAATCTCAGCTTCTTCAAAGCATACGTCCCCAATGAGTCGGTAACCACCATCTGCAGCAGCATCCTGCCCAAGAGACATGTTCATATTCTCTGAATTAATAAAGGTAAAAATGAAAATAAGTAAAAAGAAGCACATCAAAGCGCCAAAGTAATCAAGCCAAAAACAGAACACATATAAAATGTCACGGCAATCCTCAAACCCTCGGTTTAGCAGCTAGTGTTTGAAGATAGCGAATTGAGCTTTCAGTTGGCAAATCATCAGGGAGAGAAGAGAGGTTAAATTCATAGTTGAACCAGTAAGTATGAGGGGGAAGAAAATACCTCCACAGCACTGGTGCCAACATCCAGCACTACTGCACCCTTCTTCAGCCAGTGCCCTCGCACAAGCTGTGCCACACCGGTAGCTGACACAACAATATCTGCCTTTCTGGTAGCTTCTGCTGGATTGGGTGTATGTTCATGCACTACGGTCACTGTTGCATTTTGCCTCTGAACTCACCGGGTACCAACATCAAATCAGATCTCCATTTGACAAAGTACAGAAGCATTTTCATTTGGAGGTGATCAAGCCATAATTCTACACAGCTGTATAGACAAGCAGGATGGAATTTGGAGCTGCAAAATAGGTGTTATCAACCAACCTGAAGTAGCAACGCAGTTGGGAGACCCACAACGTTACTACAACCGATGACAACGGCGTGTTTCTTTTCGATTTGCACCCCTGAACGGCGTAGAATCTCCATGATTCCTAAAGGAGTGCAGGGGATGAAGGTGGGATGCAGACCTCGGAGTACCAATCTCCCCAAATTGATGGGATGCAACCCATCCACGTCCTTATCTAAACTCACAGCTCTGAGCACTCTGTCCAGCTGAATGTGCTGCAACATCGCCCCATCTGAGGTCTTAGATTAATGAAACTAAGGTTTATTCTCGGCGTTTTACCTTAAAAACAAGCCCGAAAGAGTGGAATTAGAGGAAGACTTACAGGAGGCATGGGAAGCTGCACAAGGATGCCATGGACGCGCTTGTCGGCGTTGAGCGCACTCACAAGTTCCAGAACTTCACCTTCAGAAGCTGTGGCAGGGAGATAAGCTAAGAAACTGGCGATACCCACCTCTTCACAGGCCAATTGCTTGCTGCGAGCGTAGAGATCAGAAACCTTGTGGTGGCCCACTTGGATTACTGCTAGCCCTGGAATTGTCCCCACTTGCTCACGCAGCAGCATCACCCGCCTAGCTATTATCTCCTTGATGTCTTGCGCAACGGCTCTACCATCGATCTTCGAGCACGCTGCCCTTCCTGCTACCCCACGAGAATTCTTTTGAGCTTTTAAGTATTAAAACTACACATCTGCGATACGGACGAATACCGAATCAGAATTTCGATTTTTGGCTCCGTCATTTCATATCCGAAGATCAATCCACTCAACAAACACAAAACCCTAGTAGTTTGAGTGCATCGTCGCCCTAGTTGAAATTGAGTGCATAGAGTAATGTAAAAGTGAAGCTACGTTCTATTGAGAGGACAAGGCGGCGCGCTCAATTAGGTCATCACGACGAGAATACAAACCGGGATTGAAGAAGGGCGGAGCAGGAGTGGCAGGCGGTGGACGTGTAGGGAGGCCCGAAAGGCCTGCATGTTGCCGTCTGCAGACGACTATGGTGCTCACCCTCCTCCATCTCACGAGAGTTCCACACTGCACGAATCGCTGCATCGATTCGGCTCTCATAGAACTAAAATTCAGCAATTATCTCATCGCCACTGGTAAACACTCACTAGAAACCTAACGGCCTACGCACCGACAACTGCACCACCTATGTCCGGTACAAATTCCGTGAAGGCCTCGAATACGGCTTCTAAACTGTATTCCTGCGACAGACGGGTTTTCTAAAACTCCGTTACAATTTTAATGTCACACAACAAACAGACGAGCGTCTACATGCCCATTGAAGATCGATGAAACCCCTGTAAACAGTATTGCGGCGATATGCCGCTTAGGAAGCTGCACTACCTCGAGAGCAATTCGTAAATATTCTATGATGGGGTAGTTGTGAGTAAACATGCAAATTCTTCTGAAAAACCACCACGAAGGACAGACAGATGTGTGTTATTATATACAGGAATAAGATGAGACTGCCAGAACGCCCGTGGTGTGTCCTGATATTCTGGCGAATGATCCTTAGTGAACGACTCAAGAACTGCAGTTACGGATCAGTGACCGAGACACTAGTGCAGACAGCACGTTTACTTTTCAAGAACTCTCGACCTATGGTTGGCAATCGCGCCACACCTCTCAAGTGGACCTAAGAAAACCCTTAGGGCTTCTTACGCGCTTCGGAAATATCCCAGAGAATATACTGCCTCCGATCCCAGCTGTGACTCCAGTCAGCAGTCAACATGCAACAGCCAGTCGACCGAGTAAGACCTGAGTGTCTGATCAGAGGCTGCCGCCTCACTATCGAGAGGAGGAAGACAACAGGCAGCGATCTTAACAAGTTTGCGAGGGTTGGGGAGCAAGCTTTTGTGAGGAAATTTGATAATGAACTCAAACACAATACCTCATAAGCTTACTACCGACAGTGCAAATTTTTAAAAATAAACAAGTAAACAGTATACATACACACACACACACATACATATATATATATATATATATATATATGTATATATATATATATATGTATATATATATGTATATATATATATGTATATATATATATGTATATATATATATTGAGAACAAGGAGAAATGCTCAGAGATTCAAGTGAAAAACCTTTGAGAATGAAACGAATTGCCAAGATCGAGGGAGAACAGTACAGAATAAAGAGCTGATAACAGGACATGAGCCTCATATCTGGATATATTTCTGAGTGGGAGTGACGAGTTTCCTATCATTCATTATTCCGATGCTCAATTGGCCTCGTATCCACAAGCAGTCCCTCCCGCGTGAAGGTCCATATTACTTACAGCACCTTGACTAGCCCCACAAGTGAATGCCTTGAAAAAAAAAATGGCAGATGTGGGCATGTCAGAGGAATTAACAACCATACTTTACAACACCTATTAGAACAATATATGCGATTGACCGGCTAGCAAAGAAATGTGCAGACGAGTCAGTTCGAAAACGCGCGACAATCAAATCCACGCCAACGAGTTCCGGTCACTTGTGGGCTGTGGTCGTCCTCTAGTTGGTGTAGGAGGCCTGGCAACATTAAGATCCTGCAAGATCCACATGAACAGAAATCCTCATTCGGTAAGTAGAAACCGAAGCTCTGCGATATACAATAGCGAAGGCATTGGTTGGACATTGCGACAATCTAATGATGTGTATTTTTGTAGTATGTTCAGTTACACTACAGGAAGAAACAAAAAACAAACCATATGCTGAAACGACAGGATGGTAAAAAGGACGTCAAAAGATTTGAAGGTGTACAACGTGAACCTGCATCCAAGTATCCTCAAGATGACGTTCGGGAGACGACTCCGGGGAGGTGATAGCAGGAGGCAGCGGATGGATAAGCTTGGGTACCACTACTAGATCCCTACCAAGAACCAAAATTGCTCCAGCATTGTTTGCCGTTCCTGCATAACTAGTCAACTTAGAATACCTCAAACAGACCACTGAATTTAGAAGAAAAAGAAGTAGCTATAGTCTATTCAGATGTTTAGCTAAACAATTAAATGTGAGTAAGGCTGCGTACCACAGTAATTTGTGGCAGAAAAAAGAGTGATTAGGTGACCTTGAGCAAACCGCTCAAAACCATCCATCACACATTCGTGAGCTCTTACAATGAGCTGAAGGTCATTGTTCTTGCAAAACTCCATAACTCGATCGGGCTGAAATTAAACACAAGAAATATAACCACATAGGTTCAGTTTACATCACACGTTCAAATAACTGATGTAGACACAATCTTGCAATTTGATAAAATTTACTCGAAACAACAGGGAAGATGCTTACCCCATAGGTGACTAGTCCTGGCCCTCGAGCATTTGGACGTAAACCTTCAACACTATCATTCTCTGTGGGATCAGACCTGCACAGCGGATTCAAGGATTCAATATAAAGAGAAAATAAGTACATCACAGGTTGCCGCAGAATGATTGCCTACGTGTTTATTGGACGACAAGCCCATCCCTCTAATCTGGAAAAGATAAGACAATAGGATCAATACGGAAAGAAGATGAAGAGCATTTACCAGAGAAGATCCATCAGAACAACAGAGCCCGCGTCCATTGTGATGGGACGTTGCAGAGCTTCAATTTGATGCACGTGGTTGATAGATCTTCCAATGCCACCATGCATACAAATGATCTTCTTCTCAATCAAAGCTGCAAGTGGCAACCAGTTAAAGAGTTGGTTGATTCGTTGCCATGCCCAGATACCATCACGCTCCCCCTACGATGAAGCAGTCCTCCAAAATATCAATTGTAATTCGTCATAGTAGGCGACTTCAAGAAACCTCGGGTCCTCAATATGAATTCACATCAAAAGTAGTAAGCAAAGTAACCAGAAACTAAAAACTATGCTCAGTCGCTCTGAATTTTAGAACAATGAAATGAATACATGGAGTATAAAAATATACCATTCGCTCAACACATTCAATCCGAAAACCAAACAAAGCGTTGATGTCTGAAGCTTCATGGTTGCCCCTAATTAGGTGTACATTTGTGGGATACTCGATCTGTTCAAAAGGTAATGTCAGTTTATCGGAATCAAGTATGGAAAGAAAGAGGGTAAAACTGTTCACGGGTTGCTCCGAAACAACCTCACTTAACCATATGCTCCTTCTTCAAGGTGCCTAGCAAGATACCTAGCAAGGCATAAAATCAAATCCTGAAAAACCTACGAGCCATATGCTACTAACATAAAATTTGAAGCACCAATAACTGTCATGAAGCGCCATGGTAAAATTTCATGATCAATTTACTTAGCGACGGCTCACCTTTAACGCAAGTAGCAATGTGATTGTCTCTAAGCTGTGTTGTCCTCTATCCACATAGTCTCCCAGAAAAAGATAGTCAATATACCTGCCAGAAAGTTAAACAGCATGAATAATATCTTAGAGTGCAGTTCATTTTCAAGCCTTCCTTACTAGCTGACACACTGACTCAATTGACACCGAAAAGGGTAGTAAGGCGGTCAATGACCGAGTTCATCATGGCCATTCAATTTCTGCATAAAATATAACTGCAACTGTTTGCGCTAAGCTCACGAAGGCATTTTGCATCATAAATAAATATGCGATTTCAAACAACACGAGTCAGCTTCAAGAACTGAGCATACGTGATATCCCCTGCAGTTGATGGAGACCCATACTCGTCAAATAGTCGCATGAGGTCACCAAATTGTCCATGAAGATCCCCAAATATCTTAACAGGGGCTCTTATTTGTAAAACACTTGGTTCTTGAGCAAATAGTCGCTCTGCTGTGTTGCATAGTTCAGCTATCTCATTACAATCCATGAAAAATTGTCGTTTTACTGGCGGCTTCCAGCCTCGTGACTTAAGCAAGTATGAAAGCACCTACATGAGAATTTCAGGATTAGCAAAGAAAATAACGCCAGCACAATCAAAAACAGTGATTTAAGTCACTTCAGTAGAAAAACAGCTCATAATCGGAAATAACATATCCAATGGGTCAATTTGAGAGTGCTCCAATCTAACAATTTTTTTCCCCTGCAATGGTTACACAATGTTTTTGAAAATAAAATCACTTGGCAGAAATAATCAAACACACCTTCTTTTGAACACCGTGAACAGACGTCTGGCGATCCAAAAGTCTTCTTGCATGAGAAGCACTCTCCGGTGTTCCATAGCTGACACGACGACCCTCGTTTTCAAATTGATCAATTGAGAGCTGCCTCACTAATCCACCCAGAGCACCCCCAGATTCTGCTGCCACAACAACCTGCAGTCCGCGCATTAGACATTTAACTAGTAACAAAAACCAGAGGGCCGTCTCCATGTCAATACACGAAAATTTCGCCACTCCAATAGAAATTCACCATGTTCTGTTCGCATGCTTGAACAAAAATTAGCCCAATTATCCGTGTCGTATTCTGAGTTGTTACTTGCGAACGACACGTACAAAAAATCAGACAGTAAAACAGCCACAACACCACATAATATACCCAGTTGATAATACTTACTGCTCTGTGGTGCAGCCTCACCCCAGTTGGGGGGGTATGGGTTACTGTAGCGGCCATTGAAGCTCTGTTAAGTGCCATAAGTGCTGCAGAAGATGCTTGAGGAGGCTTCGCAGTTGAGGTACTTTCAACCCCACGATCCCTCTCAGGAGTTTGTTTCTCAATCTCTTCATTCTGTTCTCGCAATGCTTTTGCAGCTGCAGAGGCCGCTAGGGCTGCACTTATTGCTTCAGCTTCAGCTGCCGAAGCTTCCACAAGTGACTCAACTCCTCGCCTTTCAGTACTGAAACACACAAACACTAGTTGAAATTGCATGCCCATTCAAAGGCCAATGACTGTATTGAAGAAGACCGTGACATGGAAAGAGAAGCACTTCGCAGAACAAGGTTTCTATGCTATGTGAACGTCTAAACGCAAATGTTCGAACCCAGATAAAAAAACAAAAAACGAAGAATGAGATCAGCACCAAATCACACAAGCATCACTATAGACTTCCACACAGTTGTTATCCAACTATACACACGAATTAAGCTATACATGTTCTGCGTGCAAATTGATATGATTTATACTAAATGATGTCTGTATGCTTTGCGTGAAGAAGGATAAGTAATTGGAGGAAATACCGGTGTCCATGTGATACAGAGTTTTCTGTACTCGTATCCATCGACGTGTGGCCGTTGAATGGCGCTGCTACCGGATTACCTATCGCGACTGAAGCCCCATCAGTAGATGACAATTCAGTTTGAGATGGCTTGCGCACGTCCTGTTGCTTGTTCGTTTGAGATGCTGGTAAATGTGAAGCTACCGAGAAGGTTTCAACGGCTGACGGATCTCCTGCTACAAGAAGATCATCCAACAATACTCCTGTCACAATACGTGAACCACGTTCAGCAATCGGCTCATGAATCAACACTACCAGATCTATGCATCTTGCACCTCGCATCCAAATCCACAAAGCTACGGTGACAAGTCGGTTACTCATCAAAGTTAAAACTAATCAAAATTATTTACAATACCAACAGCTGTACCACGAAAATACTAAACATAAGGTTGTCTTCATTGTCTGCTTGGGGAAAGTATGAACCAAACACCATATATTCAGAGTTTTTTAAAGATACCAAACAGGTGCGTTGCTATATGTATTATGCAACAAACTTCTCTTTGACACGGGCCAAGAGTACATTGATGCGCAGTACAACACATACCTCCTCTGAGCCCACCATACATAAAAATATGATCACCCACAGCTGCGGCGGCATGCCGACAGCGTCTAGTTAGTTCGTTTGAAGCCTCTCCACCAGCTGCGTCATTACTATACCTCCCTATTCGTGGAGTATTCACAACCCCCTTTCTATCACACCACATCCCAGCTGCTGTATCTAAAACTGCACAATCACAGGAGAAGAGACATTTTATTCCATCCTTATCAAAGTTCCATTCGAAACTATTAGTTAGCTTTCTCACGTTTAGACAATACCGATGTGATGGTGACCATCCAATCTGCATTTTTCGACACGGCAACCTCCCAAACTCCCTTTTTCAATCGAAACCGGATATGAGAGGGACACGGGAAACATTAATACATGAGTTTAACAACGCACCTGCCACGCTAGATGCATCCTCTACCATCCGCCCGCCACCAAGAGCACCTCCTGAAACGTGAAGTCTTGCATTCACAAACACCTTCAGGAGACCAGGAACAGTTATATCCTTTTAGTCCGAAACTAGCTTTAAACTATTTGCAACGATAATGATAATATGGAGTATATCACGATCCGTTGGTCCAAGATAAGTTTTGAACCTTGTAAAACAAAACATAGAACTGATAAAACGGCTTTAATACAGGTCCTGACTTACAGCTGCATGCTGATACCGTGGGGAGGGAGATATGCCAGGTGCAAGTGCCCACTCCCATCTTCCATCCCGATGTTTAGCAAGTCCATAAGCACTATCAATTGGCTGCAAAGGGGTACATCAAATCAAGAAAACTCCGTATCAAGAAACACTACAAAAGTAATACTAACTACAAGTGAACATTTTGAGGGGCGGGAGGGACTCATGAGAGAATGAATCTCAACATGAAATGTGACATACAACTCCACTATATCGCAGCTTAGACATGATCTTAAAAGGAAAAAATAAAGAAACTAGGTTGAGTGCATGTGAAATGGAGATGAGAATATGGAGTAGCATACTGCGCTGTTAGCATCCCGTCCACCACAAAGGAGCAATAAACCATCAGATCGCGCACAAGCTGTGGCATACCTGCAGCAAGTTAATAAAATTAACCATACAAGAAAAGGGGAAAAAGATTAACATGTACATCAAGCATAAGATTTACTGTCAAAATAAGGTGATGTACTAGCATACTCACATCCGTTCAACCTAAACCTGCAATAAAGCTGAGCTGATACAGTCCACAAATTTTCAACTAAGCAATTACTCACCACAAGCAGGAACCCCACCACCTACATAATACCTAGTCGCAATGCATTTCATTTATAACTGTTACTGAAGTAAAACACCGAACAGTGCCTGTTCACATACAGAGTTTTCTGAAATACTACTTCAATAGAAAGAGGATCAATTTCTCTTAGAATTACAAGTACCAAGAGCAGCTTATCTACGTTGAAAGCTTCCATACATATACGTACATGCATGGTGGAGGTCCATCCCCTTCTGGCTCTAGCTTCCTCCATTCATAAGGTTTGGCAGCAGTATCAAGAGCCCATACATCTGCAAGTGGCCGCTTCCCTGCAATAACAAATTCTTCTCAGCATTCCAGCACATAGATGCACTCCTTCTGAACCAAATACAAAGTCCACAGGAAGCCTGACTCACCATCATTTCCACCAATACAGAGAAGAAAGCGTTGCCCCACCAAGGACATAACATGTCCATATCGTGGACCTGGACCTGTACCTTGCACAACCACCCTGACAATCACACCCATAACCCTTCTTAGCATAGTCCCCAAAAACAGGTCAGCATCTTTCCCATCGATTTCTCACATACTCAATATATCCACAGCTACAAATGTTGCTGGAAAAATTGGGCCGTGAGGTTGGCTGGCAGGTACGTGCCGAGCATTATGGTGTGAATTGAGCATATCGTAAGGAGACGAAAGAAGAGGGTTTTAAAGTATCATTGTAGTGATATGCGTGTTATATAACCTTTTAGACGCATAAATATGACATGATGTGTGGTCAACGTGTCCTCTGGGCAATGATATTGTTTTAAATAATGCGGGTATAAAATAGTAAGAGCTTAGGTCTTATTCACTACTGTTACAACTCATCATCATTTTCACTGACACTAAAGAATAACCGTTATCCAGAATAAGACGGTATATCCACAAATATGCCGAAACCCACCTGTGCCATCTGGGTTTAGCTTGAGTAAGATCCAGAACATGTAATTCCTCGGTTGAAAGCCCTGCTGGACCTATACCACCCTGCGTCACCTCTATCTGTGTCAGATCCTTCACAACAATGGCAAGGGTGCGCAACAAAATCCACAAGCGGTACCCCTAAACTTTCTTGTACTGTCAGACAGAAGATGCTAAGGAAAGTTTCTGAAAGGCGGCACACCTGAATCACCACCATGGTACCAACAGTAGTTGCTGCATGTGCTGCTCGAGGGGAAGGAGGATCGCCAACAGGAATAAGTCTGTATAACAAGGGGATTTGTGGTCTTAAAACTAGTTCAGTCGAATGAGGTGCTGGAAATGCATGGGTGGTGGACATTGAGATAAAGTCATATCACGACAAATGTTTTAATATTCTTAGAGTAGAATCATCTTTAGGACATGCTTCTGAATGTTCAAAAGCTTAGAAGCCTGAAGCGTGTTACGATTGAAGGCAGTTATCAACATTGGGAATACAACTCCCACATTCGTTTAACTCCATCTAGAATTTTCAAATAAATGTGTCGGCAAAACTTCAAGACCCAAGACAAAAAAGCTTGAGCAAACAAAATCCAAAAAGAAATAGATGGAAAATGCTCCCCATAAAATCTGAGAGAATTATCTAAATTCATCATCGACCGCGTGGAATAAAATAAATGAAGAGTCCTGATGACCTGACCTTGACCATTTGTTGGAATGTATATCATAGCAATGCACGTCTGCAGTAGCGCCTGCCAAACCTGTCCATTGCAAGCTCAAAAAGTTTAGAAGACATTAATATAAATATTATCCCTACACTTTTGTGACACCATAAAAACTCCAAAATTGTAAGAGTAATCCACTTCAAGAACCTTCACGGTGATTTTACACCCAACAACTCCACATGCCCTCTAATGGTCCCAGCTTACAAAGAGAGCAAAAAGCCTACCCGCGATCACTGCAAGGCCAAAAGTACAGAAAGCAGTGTAAACAAGGAGAAATCGAGTGCAGCTAAAATGAAACACCCCCTAAAGAGCAAAAATTTGGCCTCAAAGTCAGTCATCCATTTCTGTCACCCACACATTGCATGACTTGTGACAAGGTGTCCAAGAATGGAGCCAAAATTAGGGGACGAGAAACATACGAATGCCAGCACCGGCTACAGCCATCTGAGGGCCAGCTTGACTTGAATTGCCCTCCAGCGCAGTGGCTCCGCCGAACAAAATTAGCCGGGGTCCAACGTAGGCCAGCTTGCCCTCCTCGCCCACAGCTGCCACTGCTGTTAATGTGTGCCCACAACGTGGACCCGGTCCATCGTCCTTCCTCTCACATATTGCGGTTATGGCCTTGTACGCGGGCGCAAGCCTTGGCCCTGGCAACTGATGCTGATAATGCTGGTGATGCTCTTGCCCAGTCCCCCTGTTTTCAACCATTCCTGCTGCATCTACTTCCATAACCCAAACCTAGATAAACCTCGCCAAATTCACTGCAAACTCTGCTCCTCCATTTCCATCTCTCTCCAGCACGTCTTCCCTCCTCTCACCTCACAGCGAGCCATGTCGCACTCGATCACCTCCTCAACTCATCACCGCGCCCCATTCGCACAGCTAAAGGGAGGAAGGGGGAGAAAAAAAAAAAAAAAAAAAAAAAAAAAAGGCATAGACCTAATCAAGCAATCACCTGACACTCATCAGCTAGTTCCTGACACCAGCGAGAGAGGACTATTGATGACGCAGAGCGGAACAAACGAAACCCGACTCCACAAGCACCACAAAGCTGCGAGAAAGACCACCCACCATCAGAATGTACATTCAAGAGTATGAGCAGGATTCGGTTGGCGGCAGATATAATGCCTTGGGCTCGCCTCAAGGCTACGGCAAAGGCTACTAGGAGAGAGTTAGAGGGGGAAAAGAAAAGGGTAGAAGAAGAAGGAGAACAAGGGGACGGAAGGAAGGTAGGGGAGGGGGGATAAATAAGATAAAATAAATATAAAATAGAGGTGGCTGGCAAGCCTTGCGAGTCAGAGCGTGATTGCTGATGAGGGTTATGCAGTTAGCCAGCCAACCAGCCAAGCCAGGAAGGAAGGAAGGAGGGAAGGGAGAGTAGGATTGTCTGTCTGTCTGCGAGAAGGAGGAGGAGTTGGAGTAATGCTGCTGCTGTAGTAGTTATAGTGCCTCCACGTGCTCGCAGCATCTTCCACAACGGCTGAACAATTGCGAGGGAGGGAGTGTGGCCCCCTGGCGATCGCCCTTCGCCAGTGCCAGCGTAGCCTCCCTCTTCCCCACTCCCCTCCTCTGTAAGAGACGGGAAAAAAATGTGTGGGTGTGGGTGTGTGTGTGCCGCGAACTCTCACTCTCTCCGTCTCTGTCTCACTCT